TAGTAGGAGGAGGAGGAGCAGGAGGATTTGTAGTAGGAGCTGGAGTAGCAGGAGAAGTAGGAGTGGGAGTAGTGGTAGTCGTCGTAGCCGTCGTCGTAGTGGTGCCTGTGTTTGGGCCGTTCACCGAAGCCCCCTCGGAATTCGAGTTTGGTCCCACTATGTCCGAATGAAGCATTGTCAGGCATACTGGAAGAGACTTAATTGTTCTAATAGTCGCATATCAGTATGACTACTGTCGTTGTCCCCCATGTGTGTGGCCCAGCCAAGCCTCTTGAGCCACGCATTAGCCATTACAGTGTTTGCAGGGTGGTCCGAATCTGAATCTTGCGACACGAAGCCGAGAGGCTGGTGTAGGGAAAACAGGCTGCTTTGAGCTTGGGGTGGGGTCTCGGAGTGTCCGTGACACCGACTGAATCGAAACCCGAAGCTAGAGGCACTTCCTAAATGGGGTTGCAGCAAACCTCAAATTGCGAGATCCTTGGGTATATGAGTTGCCGTGGGCGACTGGCATCTGAAACTTCTGGTGAGTAGAGAGTCCGAAACGTCTTCAGCATATCCCAACCTTAAAGCCCAAAGGTCCTGCCGCCGTCTGCTAGATCTATCTACTGTCGAACCTAACCGTATCACCAGGAGTCGAAATCCGCCCAAACCCCCTCGCACCCCCCCCCCCCCCCCCCCCGCCTCGTATGAACAAAGCTGCACCCTGAACTCTCGGATAGTGCAGCTTGGGTGCTGGCTGAGGTCGCACTCTTCGACCTCACGAACAGCGCTATGGTGGAGTGCCTCGATTCCCTCAACCGAATCACCTGCCAGGCGGGTTCAAGGTTTTAGGGTGTATTGATCTCCTGGCCGTTTGCAACTGTTGCGGAAATGTCCGAGGATGTTGAGGTTTTTCGGTGCAGCTAAGTAAGTCGCAATTATATACTAGCCGAAACCAAGGAAGTCATTCCGAAGATGTCAGGGGGATTCAGGGGGCAACTCCTAGACTTCGGGTGTCGGTCGGGGGTCGCGTAAGATTGGAACCTCCCCTAAGGAGCTCCCAGTGATGTAGGGTTTAGGGCTTAGGGTGTGAAGTTGCACTCAGCCACCTCTGAAGGGCTCGTGTCCTGGGCATGAGGCTTTGGGGGTTTAGGGTTTAGGCTCGGACCCCAATGTTCGATTTGAACCTCGGTTGCCGCTTGCCGTTAAATCCCCTAAGTCCCTACGTGTGCTATGTCCCCCAAGCCCTACAATATTCAAGCCCGAATTAGACCTTCAGCTCCTTAAGCCCACAATCTCCTAAGCATCCTAAACCTGAACCCTACCTGGACCTCAAAAGGAGTCACGTTTTGGCGTAGTTAAACCCCTACTTAAAAACTAAATCCTAAACCCCAGACCCTGTTGAAAAAAAAGGCGTGAAGCAAAAAAAAAAAACAGACCCTAAATCCTAAACCCTACATCCTCAACCTTGAACCCTAAATCCCAAACCTTCTATATAAACCCTAAACCCTATGAACGCTAAACCCCCGAAAGCAGCAGGTCATGGACTTCGCCAAGGCCTCCGCGCTCGCGCGCCGGGTCATCGAGCTCGAGGAGGCCGACCCAGGGGCGGAGCTGAGCTGCACCTCGCAGTAGGAGGGTTTAGGGTAAAAAAAGGGTTCAGGGTTTGGGGTTTGGG